AGAAAACACCTGAACCTTAGGTTAGTAAACAGCGATGAATGATTTGAAAGTAGTAGAATGGGCCATATTTCGATCACTATTTTATCACAATTTCTCATAAAATAATGGGTAGGATTTTTAATATCTTTCCAACTTTTATTAGTCCAAATCTTATTACACAAGATACCGAGTTAACGTGCCTGCTGTAAAACTTGTAGTAAAAAAAGCGGGACAAATTGTAAACCGAAATCCCATCTGGGCAAGTGGTAGATTGAGCTATGCAGCGAGAGCGCACTGTCGTGCTGAGTTCGGGTCGAGCAGCAGGCCTACCTGGTGACAGCGACGTGTCGACAGCAGCCTTACCTTGTACATGACGTTCCAGCAGCAGCTTACCTGGCTACAGACTGTCCAGCAGCAGCCTTACCTGGTACATTTGACGTGTCTCAGCAGCAGCCTTACCTGGTACAGCGACGTGTCCAGCAGCAGCTTACCTGGTTACAGGAACGTGTCCAGCAGCAGGCCTTACCTGGTACAGACGGGTCAGCAGCCAGCCTACCTGGTACATACGTGGTGCCAGCAGCAGCCTTACCTGTACAGACGTGTCCAGCAGCAGCTGACCTGGATACAGCGACGTGCCAGCGCAAGCTTCCGGGTTACAGGACGTGTCCAGCCCAGAGCCTACCTGGTACAGGACGGTCCAGCAAGCGAGCCTTAACCTGGTCATACATGCACGTCGGGTGCGTCAGCAGCAGCCTTACCTGGTACAGGACGTGTCCAGCTGAGCAGCCTTACCTGCGTACATGACATGTCCAGTAGCTGGCTGGCGTCAGCAGCAGCCTTTACCTGTACAGGACGTGTCAGCAGCAGCCTTACCTGGTACAGGACGTGTCCAGCAGCAGCCTTACCTGGTACAGGACGTGTCCAGCAGCAGCCTTACCTGGTACAGGACGTGTCCAGCAGCTGGCGCGGCGAGCAGCGCGGCGTCGACGTCCATTGAGGCGGCTGACGATGTCTACGAGCACGAGCGCGACCTCGGGATGCTGGCGCGTGTAGCGCGGCGAGGTTGGCGACCGTGCGCGCCGCGTAGACGACGTCCATCGCGTCACGGATCGCAACGCTGTTCGCCAGGTAATCGCGCAGCTTCGTCGCGCGCTCGACACGACGTTCGTGCTGTTCAGGTTCGTCTGCCGAGAACAAACGTGAACAGTGTGAAACGTGTGAATGAACAACGATCATCTCGTGAACATGTGAAGGAATAATTCCATATGCCTTGACATCACGTTTGTACTGGTTCAGCGTTTGTCTGCGAGAAAACCAAATGATCATCGCATGAACATTGGTGAAAGCGAAACATACTCTAGGTAATGCTGAGGAGGTCTATACCCACCAGGTAGTGTATTGATTCTATCACCTGTCAGGTAATATGTGAGGTTTCACACCTTCAGTAATGTGTTGAGGTTTCACCACCTGTCAGGTAATATGTGAGGTTTTACACGCTACCAGGTAATAGCTAAGGTTTCACACCTGTGCATAATATGTGAGGTTTTACACGTGCCAGTGAATGTGTGAGGTTTCACACCTGTCAGGTAATGTGTGGGTTTCACACCTGCAGCCGTAATGTGTGAGCGTTTTACAACCTTGCCAGGTTAATATGTGAGGTTTTACACCTGGCAGTAATGTATGAAGGTTTTCACACCTGCAGGTAATGATGTGAGTTTACACCTGCCAGGGTAATATGTGAGGTTTTCACACCTGCCAGTTAATATGTGAGGTCTTTACACCTGCAGGTTCAGATACGTGAGGTTTTACACCTGCCAGGTAATGTGTGAGGTTTCCACGGCTCAGTAGATTGGTGGGTCAACCGCCGGTAATATGTGAGTTTTACACCGCCAGTAATGTGTGAGGTTTTAACCTGTCAGGTAATATGTGAGGTTTTACACTGCCAGCGTAATGTGTGAGGTTTGCAACCTGCCATGTAATGTGTGAGGTTTTACACCTGTCAGGTATATTGTTAAGGTTTCCACAACCGTGTCAGGAATATGTTTTGAGGCTTTACACCTGCCAAGTAATATGTTGAGGTTTTTACACCTGTCAGGTACATATGTGAGGTTTTACACCTGCATCGAATGTGTGAGGTTTTACAACCTGGCCAGTAATGGTGAGTTTCACACTGCCAGGTAATATGTCGAGGTTTTCACACCTCTGCCAGCGTAAGATGTGAGGCTTTCACACCTGCCAGCGTTAATGTGCTGAGCGTTTCACACCTGCCAGGCTAAATGTGTGAGAAACCTGCAGTAATGTGTGAGGTTTTACCCTGGCTCAGGAATATGTGAGGTTTCACACCTGCCAGGCTAATGTTTAAGTGTCACACTGCCAGGTAATGTGTGAGGTTTTACACCTGCCAGGTAATATGTGAGTTTCACACCGACCAGTAATGTGTGAGGTTTTACACCTCCAGGTTAATGTTGAAGGTTTCACACCTGCAGGTAATGTGTTGAGTTTTGACACCTAGCCAGGTATGTGTGACTTCACACCTGCCAGGTAAATGTGAGGTTTTGACACCTGCCAGTAATGGTGAGGTTTCACACCTGCCAGTAATGGTGATGTGTTTCACACCTCGCCAGGTAATATGTGAGGTTTTACACCTGCCAGTAATGTGTTGAGCCCATGCTTCTTACACCTAGCCAGGTAATGTGATGAGTTTCACACCTGGCCAGGTAATGTGTGAGGTTTTACACCTGGCAAGGCTAAATGGTGAGGTTGTACACCTGCCAGGTAATGTGTGAGCGTTTTAACACCGCAGGTAATGTGTGAGGCTTTCACACTGCCAGGTAATGTGTGAGGTTTTACACCTGCCAGTAATTATGTGAGGTTTCACACCTGTTCAGGTAAAATGTCGTGAGGTTTTACACCTGCCAGGTAATATGTGAGGTTTTACACCTGCAGGTAATGGTAGACTGCCAGACAGTGGTGCCGACGGGTTATTGCCAGACAAGACTGATTTAATTAGGGTTAGGGTTAGGGTTAGGGTCCGGAACTGCAGTGGGGAAAAAAATTCCACGGCCCGCCTCACACGCAGCAGCAGTCCTCATGCTGATGCTCGACTTGTTTCCAACGCGCAGCCCTCGCGTCTTTGCTACATTGTTTCGTTCTTGCGGCAGCGTCGTTCTTCTAGCATCTTTTATGTGCAACGTTGTTCTGCCATTGTTCTTGTTCCAGTCGCGTAGTTCTGACGTTTTGTTCTTGTGACGTTCTCGCTTTGTCCTGCATTGTTGTTGTGTTGTAATTTGTTGTTGTTGTTGTTGTTGTTGTAATTTGTTGTTGTTGTTGTTGTTGTTGTCGTTGTTGTTGTTGTGGAATTTTCTCCTTTACATTGTTCTTACAGCACTGCTGCATTCGTGATGTCCGTGCGTCATCATTTTTGTGTTGTCCTTGTCTCATTCTTTTGTCGTTCACGTGCCTTTCTCACTCCATCTTAGCAGCAGTTCTCATTGCTTGTTCGGTGTCTTTTAATCGAATGGAAACACATTTGCTTTCACTTCCATTGCTTGTCGCAGTGGTTGCACGTTGCCTGTTGGTGTAAATTAATGATGCTAATGAATTAGCACTCATTCCTTCTGCCTACTCATGAGTTCCTAAACTGAAGCATCAATTGCTAGCATTGCTTGGTGATATATTTTAGTGAAACGGTTACACTTTAGCAGTGTTCCCTGCTTGATGCTGACAGGCCGGGCACTATGGAAATTACTGGATGGGGCAGTGATACTGATTAAGCGGGGATCACATAATAATGCGTGCAAAGATTGTTTTTCAAAGACGAATGTCGTTTAAGCGATGCGTCCGTTTATCCGAGGCCGGATGAAGTGGGGACCACTGCACTTCGCTTGAGCGTGGATGTGATTAAACTGGAATTAACCCCTTTGTTGTCACTCACAGTGGATCTGGATGAGGTGACGACCACACTCGAGCAGCCGGTGACCGTACAGCTGCGCATGCCCCTCTACACGGAGAATGCCACCGCTGTCTACTGGAACTCCTCTGCTAACGGTAAGTGAATAGGGGCGAGTACGTGCTAGCAGGCCGACTAGAACTACTGGCAAAGCATGGGAGAATGAGTGTGGTGGCTGTCTTGGTGCTTTCTACCTGAGACGAAGGAGAGTTGAAGAATATATAGGAAATCTAAATCTATATAGGCTCTTTTCATATGTAGGAGAGAGAGGGTGGTGGGAGAGCAATACTTTTATAAATGGAAGAGAGAGGGTAGGAGGGTCTACGTCGTGGGAGGGAGAGGGTGGGAAAGTGGTAATACTGTTCGTGAAAGCGAGATGGCGGTCATTCTACTGAACCTGCTGGTCTTGAATGGGTACTCAAAGCCGTCTGAGTATTCTTACAAAATTGTGTTAAATTACGTTTAGAATATTTAATACTTTTTTTTTACCATTGTGTGTAGTTAAGATAAATGATCTAATTTCATATTACTAGGTTTAATATACATATTTTAATTGGCTTTGCATAGGCTTTAAGTCGACCGTTAGCTTTCAGTGGCTTGGTGCTGCTAGATTAGTTTTAGAATAGTGCAAATATCACGATTTACTGAAGTAAATTGTTCAAACATAGTAGATTAATATCCGCGGCCGTTATCACACGGTGTGTGGCGTATGCATGACGTCGTCTGGCTCGTTGCAGGTGGCTACGGTGACTGGGAGACGGATGGCTGTGAGATCACAGGCCAGGACGGCAACCTCAGCATCATACACTGCACACACCTCACCGACTTCGCAATCTTACAGGCAAGCATGCGAGGCGTGGGCCCACAGGCTCTTGGAGAGGCTTTTATATATATATATATATAGAACAGGCTCACAGGCTCTTACATATATATGTGTCAGTGTGCGGCAGCGTGCGTGCGGTGTACATGTGTGTTGCAGAGGAGCATTTGCACAGCATTTACAGGAAATTGTTGGCAATAATAGGCGAAAGAGAGTAGAGAAACATTAAGACTGGTAGTAAATAGATTTCATATTTATTTAGCATTATTGAATTATTTCAATTTGAAATTTTATTGAAACGCTCCAAGTGCCTGTGCGCGGGTCGTGGTTCGCGTTCGTAAACGTCGCGGACATACGACGGGGCGCGTGTTCGTGGGTTGAATGAACCAGGGGCTCATTGTCAGAAACAAAGTTAGTCTTGGCATGAATGTTTTCTCGTAGACCGTTGACGGAAACATAAAACGTGGTAAAGTTACCAGTTTCTCATACGCAGTGTATAGAAGTCTGGTTTATGAGAAAAGGGTTCAATAGAGACTAATTTTGTTTCTGACAACTGGTCCAAGGGTTCGAACTTACGCATGCGGTTGTGCTAAATTCGACTTTATTTTTGAAAATAGCTACCTCAAACTATAGTGCCTCGCATGCAAAGTTAAGTGGCTGGTATTTTTCTGCTTGTCTAACGTATGTCGGCATTAAACGAGGCATGCTAGAGCATCTAACGCGATTTTGAGATTTATAAACCGATGAATCGCCGGAAGGGTTAATCGGAAAGAAAACTGACGGCCCATGAAGTATTGAAGCAAGTCGTCAACAGACTATCACAAACTTTTCTCCGGAAACAATAAATTTTGCGCTCACCAACGCGACACTGCCAACGTGCGTTCGCCTCGACCCAGAACGAAGCTCCTCTCATGCGCTTCCTTTCACGCCGCCTCTCTCTCTCTCTGCAGGATGCCGACGATGTTCGGCGCCACCTGGCGGTGCCGCCGGCCGCCGCGGGCGCGCTCTTCCGCATGCTGCCGCCGGTCGTGTACGCGTGCACGGCCGTGCTCGCCGCGTGTCTGCTCGCGTGCGCCGCCGGACACGCCTGCGCGCATGCCGCCGCCACCGCCAGGGGGGCGCCACCGCGCAAGATGCGCCACTCGCTCGCGAACACGTGGGTGTGCGCGGCGGTGCTCGCCGTCCGTTCCCGTTCCGCGGCGCGTGAAGCAGACGCGCAGCATCGCGACGCGTGCCGCCTCGTTCGCATGGCGATCCACTACTGTCGCTGTGCGCGCTTCTTCTGGATGACGATCACGTCAAAGTGAGGTGCGTGGGTGGAGTGTGCGCGGATGGGCGGGGTGGGTGCGTGTGTGTGTGTGTGGGTGGGTGTCTCAGAGATGCCAACCACTACGATTTATCCGTATTTTATACGAATTTCTATTCCTTTTGGACCACTACGACCAGTTTGTATCAAACTACGAATTTCACTGTGATCGGAAAAAAAAATTTTTGTTGTCAATTTATTGTGATTTTTTACCCTCAGAATGCAGGAAATTGCATCTCAGAATCAAAAATTTTTCCGGGGGGCATGCCGGACCCCCCTAGCAAACTCGGGTCACTACGTGACCTTCGAACTACTAATTTGATGGCCAGAAACTACAGATTGCTTCAAATATGTGTTGGCATCTCTGGTGTCTGTGCGTGTGTGTGTGCGTGCGTGCGTGCGTGCGTGCGTGCGTGCGTGCGTGCGTGTGTGAGCGGGGTTTGTGTGTGTTGGGAGTGGTGGTAAGATCGAAGAGAAGGTGGTGTGAGTGAATGTGGGTGGTGCATAACATTGAGGAGATATGGATGGTGTTAACGTGAATAACAATTGGTTGATGTTAGTGTTAATAAGATGTAGATGGTGTTAAGGCTAATGAGATGTGGGTGATGAGGGTCAGATAAGATTCAGGAAGTTTTTGATGGAGTTGAGATGAGATGTAGGTCGTGTTAAGTTTAATGAGGTGTAGGGGATGTTAAGATCAAATAGTTGTCGGTGGGCAGATACTTGGTCATGGGGGGGGCATGGTGGCTAATTAAGTCAACTAATTAGTCAAGATTAATCATAGATCAAGATAGTCGGTATAGATATGTGTCTAATAATGGGTCGGTTCAGGAGGGTGGCGTGGGAATAAGAAGGATGATGGGTTAGTGTCAGTGGTATTAGTATTGTTATTGGAATTTCTAAAAGTATTAGTTGTGCGTATTTAGGATTAACATTCGTATTAGTAATAATCGAACTATTGTTAGCTGGTGTGTCACTGATCGCCCGCGTGCGTCCGCGTCGTTGCAGCAACCTGTACAAGATCTACGCGAAGCTCCTCCGGCCGCCGCCGCCGCCCGCGCTCGATCACGAGGCTGAGCTTGTCGACGCGGGGCCGCCGCCGCTGCCGCCACCGCCGAAGCCGATCGTGCCGCTTTACTTTGTGGGCTGGACGATCGCTCTTATACCTGTCGGCAT